AGTAAAGAAAATGCCAAGCGAGTGCTTGGTTTCTTCAAATAAGAATTTCCCTACCCCTATCTATGTGCTTTTTTTTTTTAACTTTAATAAAATCTTAAATAATAATAAAGTAATCTCTATACCCAACATGGGGCTCAAACTTAAAACCCTGAAATCAGTATTCACATGCCCTACCAACTGAGCCAACCAAGTGCCCCTCTAACTGCTTTTTCAAACTCTGATTATCAGGGGGTGCCTGGCTGGCTCACGCCAGGCGGTAGAACATGTGACTCTTGATCTCAGGGTCATGAGTTCAAGCCCCATGTTGGACATGGAGCCTGCTTAAAAAAATTTGTAAAAACACCAACTCTCATTAGGACAAAGTTATTTTTTCTTTTTTTTGAATCTCAGTTGTTGACTGATTATTATGGGACATAGTGTTAGAGATCAGATTCTTTAAGGTGCTCTTTTGTGATGGGCTGAGAAACCATATGGCGTGCAGAAACATGGTGTGATTGCTTAATTCAGATGTCTTGTCAGTACTTTGCTTTTAAAAAAAAAAAACAGCTTAGGTGAGCTATAATTCACATACTCTACAGCTGACCTGTTTTAAATGTACAGTTCAGTGGTTTTCAGTACACTCTGAGTTGTGCAACCATTCCCACATTTAATACATTTTCATTACCCCAAAAAGAAACTTCATGTCCTTACTCAGCAGCTCCTAGTTCTCTTACCCTCCTGCATCCCCTGGAAATCACGCATCTATCTTCTGTCTCTACGGACTTGCCTCTTGTGGACATTTCATATAAATAGGATCATACAGTCTGTGGTCTTTGGTGACTGGCTTCTTTCAGCACTTTACCTGTTAATCTTCTGTTTGGAGAGCAAGGTGAGGCGGCCAGAGGTGCTCTGCTAAAGGTTTAGTCAGAAGATACCGTGGCTTTTAAAACTTAGAGCAAAGGGACGCCTGAGTGGCTCAGTTGGTTAGGCATTCAACTTTGGCTCAGGTCATGATCTTGTGGTTCGGGAGTTTGAGCCCACATACCGGGCTCTGTGCTGACAGCTCAGAGCCTGGAGCCTGCTCTGGATTGTATGTCTCCCTCTCTCTCTGCCCCTCCCCTGCTTGCACGCACACTCGCTCTCCAAAAATAAGCATAAAAAAAAATTTTTTGTAATTAATAAAAAAAATTTAGAGCAAAAAAGAGGTGCAGCTGTTCTCGGAATTTTATTACAGATATTTTGATGCACTATTTAAACATGATGCTGCTTAAGATTTTTTAAATGGTTTTAATAACAATTCAAATTCCACATATTGAAAAAATGCAATTGAATGAGTTTTTACTTGTTTATATATTCATGAAAAGATCACAGGATGATGTACATCCTGTCATCTCCAATAGTTGCCTTGTATCCCTAGTAATCCATCTCTTATCCCTGGGCTGGTACTTGTGGCTTTTTTTTTTTTTTTTTTTTTTTTTTTTTTTTTTTTTTTTTTTTTTTTATGTATTAAATGAGAAAATTAGGACTGACTTAGGAGTCCGTGGTGGGAGATAGTATGTGTGGAGGCCAGCGGGCTGACCTTGTGTGACTGTCATCACTATTTGTTTTCTCCTCTGTAAAGTAGCATTAGTTAACAGGAGCTACCTGCAGTTTTATGGTTAGTCCTAAATTAAACATTTTTAATGAAGTAGTTAGTATGGTGACTAACACTCCATAAATGGTAGCTCTTGTTAGTGTTATTTTGTGTTATACTAAAGTACTTGACATATTGGATTATTCATCACCATCACTACTATGTGCCTAGTGTGACGCCTAATACACGGTAGGTACTCAGTTTATATTAATTCTCTCCCTTTTCCCTCATTGTTGATAAGTATACCACATGACATTTGTTATTGTTCAGTAGCCCTAACTCCTACCAACTTTGAGAACAGATCTGAAAAATTTCCACTCATTCATCCAACAGATTTTGTCGAGCGCATGATGTGTTTGTCCCTGCACTGTGCATTGCGCCCCGTGGATGGTTCCAAGTTGAGTAAGACGTGAGATACATCCTGTATACGCCCATCCAGGGTTTGGGCAGAATATCCATGGATGGTGCATGAACAGAGTGGGGTGGAAGTTGAGTGGCTGGAGTGATTGTCCTGGTCTGTGGAGACTTGGTGTTGGCCCCGTGAAGGGTATGTAGTTAAAGGTCTCAAAGGTATCAGAGGGAAGGCATTTTAACCTGAGAAATGGGTTGAGCATTGTGCAGGGCTCCTGAGCTCTATCTGGGAGCAGGAATCAGTCCCAGTGTCGGTGGGACACAGCCCTGCAGGAGTTGGGTGAGACACAGCTGGAGAGGAAGACTGGGGGAATCCACCGCAGGCTTCCTCCTGGGCCGAGGAGGGGAGTTGTGTTTTGTCAGTCAGTAGCGATCCTGTAAAGATGTTCCAGAAAGGGACACAGTTGTATGGTAAGTAGACTATTTTTGAGGTGGCTCTGGTGTATGGATTGAGTTTGACAGTAAGACAGTTTAGTGATCAAGGAAATGGGTAAAAATACAGAGTTGGTGCCTGATTG